TTTCATATCCGTGTGGCGCAACACATACGGGAGATGTTAGTTTCGTTCTCCTTTGTAAGACGAAATATTTAAACTATTGTTAACAAACTGTTGTGAAAATTCCAATTTAATGATTTTAAGGCCGGTCGAAAATCCAGACTTGTCGATTAGCATATCTTCGCGATTTGTTAATTGATTGTTTTTTCGTTAAGAATGAAATTGTTCTTGGAATTGGAAAGCACACAATCAAAGCTCATTAGGGCGTTTGAACATCATCGGCCTGCGATTAATCGCTTAATACCTTTCAACCTATCTTATTAATAAGATAACGGAAGGTTTATGAAAGTGCTTAAAACTTTGTAAACAAGGCTGACTCGTTTTTAATGTACATACAATAACGAATGCTAGTAAATTTCTAGCCACTGGATCATTATCAACCCATTGAAAATTTTTCGCTGTTTTATTCATTTTTTGATGTATAAACTAAAAGATTTAATCGATCTGAAAATAGCTTTTGACCGTTATTCCATTATTTATCCAGTATGGCTGCTATTAGTTTCTATAATTTATAATAGTTCGTAGCTATAAACACAAATAAGCGAAACAAGGCAGACCCACGTTTTACACACTTTACGTATGTATATTTGGAGATCGTGAGATGCGTTCTATTGTGACGTAGGTTTTAGAAAAACATTTTCTTTATCGTGCCAACGTTTCGATCTTTATAGAAATCATCTTCAGGGCCTCGGGTTTAAAACATTATTTACATTTTACAAATAAATGTAGGATAAGAAAAAAAATGAACAAACACTTGAGTTTTCCGTGTGGATGGTTCATTCTAGTCTGTCGTGTTGAGAGTGTTGTTAGTATTGTTTCTTGTGATAGTTAAAAAAAAAGACGTCTCTAGTAAAGTAGGTCAGAAAATATTATTGTTGTTAAAAATAATTTGGATTTGTTTAAGTACTTTTAAAGTCATTATGTACGATTTTTGATAACAAACAAATATATACTTTTATGGGCTGCATCAACCCGGTGTATTTTTTCACCGATGTCCTGGGTTTCATTTAAAATTGCATAACTCTTCTGGATTTTATTCAATATCCACGGTATTGCAACTGTTAGAAAGTTGATTTTTTTGTTTGTTTTTTTGTTTTGTGCTTATATCCACAAGATCTGATTGTATGTCATTGTATTTGAGAAAAATAAAAACCATATCAACAAAAACTCCTCAAACGTTTTATTTGTATTTCCAATTCATATTTATTTCCGGGGATTAAGTTTATGTCATTACCATTGAATTTAGTAAATATGTCATTCTTGTGTGTCGTTGTGACTCTCAACACGACACACAAGAATGACACATCTACCCGGAAAACAAACACTTTGAGCCCTGAAGATCAATAAAGATCTAAACGAAACTTTAGCACGATAAAGAAAATGTTTTTCTAAAACCTATGTCACACCACACCGCACCTCACGATCTCCAAATAATCAATGGCTAACGGTCACTAAACACCACACATTTTTACCAGTAATTTTAGAGCGAATCGGACCAGAATATTACTAATAAAACAGGCATGTCTTTAAATATCAATTTGGAGTTTTCAAGTTAGGCAGACAAATAATTTCAAAAGTAAACCATTATTTATATTTGCAATAATAAAATAAGTTGTTTAAGTTATATAAAAATGTATTTTTGAATTGGAGAATATAAAACCTAGTCATTCTACAATGGGATATGTAAATATGGCAAGCTTAAAATCAAGTAAAATGAATCAAAATTTGTTATAAAAATATTTTTGCTAATAAGACCAGATCGAAAGTCATTATTCTCTTAGATTAATGGTTTATGTAAAGATAATAATGGCAAAAACAAAGAAAAAATGTTTTAACTTTCATATTTTTTTAAATTTAAAAGCGGCAAAAAATTTTGTTTGGTCGTTTCCGATCACAATGTACTGATTATCGGAGATGTTTTCTGTCGGTCAGACGCTTTTTGGCTTCTCGTCATCACCACCACACAACATCAATATTTAGTATAGAATTATATAAAGAAATTCAACACTGAAGAATCTGAAATTTTCAAACCGCCAAAACGAGGCAGATAAGGTGACAAAAATGATCGGAAACTACGAACTACAGGTTGGTTAACCCACAGACACAACGGGGAATTCTCTCAATTAAAACAGAAGTGAAGACTACAAGTAATGCAGCAGGATGCTATTAACACTAAAATATTAAGATTAATTTTTTACAATTTATGATGGTGTAGAGTCAAGGAATAATTCTCCGTTTTACGTTTGTGTGTGTCTGAGACAGACACAGAAGTAAAATTAATTAAATCTTAAAGTAACAAGTGTATTCTTTGTGATTTAAAAGTGTACCTGATCCTCATTCTTAAGAAAAACCTTTGAGATTATCCTGTCTTCCTACAATTATTATTAGAGGATGATTCTTGTATCCTTTGCGTTTTACCTTTGAGATTTGACAGCGCGTTCATCCAAAATTTTTTTCCTTCGAGATTGGGCTGCTTCGTCATTTAACATTACATCCTTTAACGGATAAATCCTTTCATCCAAAAATATATCCTTAGATTATGTAAAAACATATTTGCCTAGTTGAACCTCTTGGAAATTTTGTACTTAGTAGAAAAGATATTTAATTTGAAAAGGTTGAAACTGAAGCTTCTTTTGTTAACGCATCAAATCAACAATGCAAACGATTTTAAAAAATTCCTAGTTTTTAAAATAATTATTGTTACAATTGGCTGGATTGATTATATGGTCGTTACTGATCATTTTGGTTCTTCTAACCTCGATTTGGTCTGTCAAACGCGTTATTTCGCGTTATAATTATTTTTATTATTGGCATGGTATAGAATTCATTCAAATTAAGTTTAAGACCGTTTTTCGAGCTAACAAATTACGAAAGTACGAATAATGTATCTTATAATTGAGCTAATCGTTGATCACATTCAGAAATAATAAGGGATCTAAAATAAAACCTTGGAGCCCTCTCGATTTAGTGCTGAGAAATTTTTGCAAATACTTATTTCTTTTGTTGTAAATGAAAGTATTTATCTATCTTTATCTACTTATCTAATTTATACAACGAATTAATAGTTCTTAAGTTATAATAATTATGCTTATAGTGGGTAGGTAAGTGTTTCTGATTAATATCAGCGAAACGAGCTGTGCTCCTTTCCCCCATTTTTCACCACAACGAAAGTAATCTGAACAAAGATTCAGACCACTTCCTGGAACATTCTCCACCAGGAACCGGGATCACTTGGTCATTGTGCCGTCCCTATTTGAAAACGCAATCGGCCGAAAGAGAATGGGCATTAACGCGCCCTGGCTAATGGATCGGTTCCAGCCGACGGGAGCGAGCTCCTTTTCATCCCGATGGAAGTTCAGTGTGTTGTTTGGACTGGGACAATAAATTGAGACGGCCGAGTTATGTTCCGGGAAAAGAGCCGCGGGGGCGGGATGAATGGCTAGGCATACCTCCACACGGTTACCATTGTCTCTGCTCTAGATTTGCTGGAGTCTTCACTCTTCCAGGTGTTTACCTCTCAAAGAGGATTCCGCGCAAACAGGTCTTTAATTTTCAGCAAATTATTCCTGTAACTTACATTGCCAAGGGTTGACATTTTGTTTATAGATCTATATATGCAACATTTAAATTATCAACTTCATTGCTGTTTTATGTTTATATACGTTGGATTTTGAAGGGGTGGGGAAGGAAGTCGGTATAGAAGTACCATAAGTACAAGGAAGTCGGTATATTTTGCATTGTATAAATTCACTTTTTTCCACATCCTACATGTATTTGTTAAATGTAAACAATGTTTGTAAATCCCAGGCCCTGAAGATGATCTCAATAAAGATGGAAACGTTGGCACGATAAAGAAAATGTTTTTCTAAACTTACGTCATACCAGATCGCATCTCACGATTTCTGAATAATTATCGATTAACGGTCACTAATCACTACATGTTAAAATTATTATTAAATTTGTTGAAGTATGTTAGGAGCTATCCAGTATGAGGTAGTTTACAAAAACACCTTTTTCATTTTTTGCCAACATTTCGACCTTGTTTACATTTAACAAATACATGTAGGATGTGGAAAAAAGTAAATTTATACAATGCAAAATATACCGACTTCCTTGTACTTATGGTACTTCTATACCGACTTCTTTCCCCACCCCTTCAAAATCCAACGTATATAAACATAAAACAGCAATATCTCACAAGCACTCTCAACACGACAGGCAAGAATGGCACAATTACACAGAAGACAAACATTTTGAGTGAGTAGAAATACTTTGATTGAATATAAAAAAATATATATTGCATTGTATAAATTCACTTTTCTCCAAATCTTACATGTATTTGTTAAATGTAAACAATGTTTGTAAATCCCAGGGCCTGAAGATGATCTCAATAAAGATCGAAACGTTGGCTCGATAAAGAAAATGTTTTTCTGAAACCTACATCACACCAGACCGCATCTCACGATTTCTGAATAATTATAATTAATAATTTTAACAATCAAAAAACTTTTGCTATTGTTTTTAAAGTTGAAACATAGTCTTAATTAGGTCATAGACCATTAGCCAATGATTATTTGGAAATCGCGAGGCCAACATTTTCTTTATCGTGGAAACGTTTCGATCTTTATTGAGATCATCTTCAGGGCTCAAAGTGTTTGTTTTCCATGTAGATGTGCCATTCTTCTATGTGGTGTTGAGTTATTATTTAATATTGTTATTATTGCGGTGTCATATTGATTTTGTGTAAAAGTGTTGTCAAGTGTGTTATTATTTAATGACTATTTGGAGATCGTTAGATGCCGTTTGATGTGACTTAGGTTTATCCTTATTGATTGACAAAGTGTTTGTTTTCCGTATAGATGTGTCATTTTTCTGTGTCGTTTTTCGTTGAGTTATTAATAATAATTTTAATTTATCGTAATAATCACCTGATATTTTGTTCTTACGATACAAGCTGACAACACTCACAAGATCAAAAAGGTTTATTGTTGAATTTAGTAAATTGTGTACATTTCTTTATTCAAATCTAGGCCCGCATAGTTTCGCGTTGTTTCTTGAAATTTTTTATGAAGATTACATAAAATACTTCCAGTAACAACAATTGTCAGTTGCAAGCAATTTAGACTTGCCCACATTTCCATGCTTGAAGGACAAAACAAAAATCTGGAGGTGTTATGAATTTTTAGGTGGAAGACCGGACATCGGTGAAAAACAAATTGCCTTCATTATAATTAAGATTTAAGGACTGCTGGAAATGAGTGAGATTTTTGTCAAATAAATTTTTTACTTAGGTAAAAGCATCCATTCAATTCTGGCAATTTTGTATTTCTAATTTTATGTAAAACGATCCTGCATATATTTTCCTGTATTGAGTAAAAAAAATCAATATAATATACTAACCTTGAAATAAAGAACAATTTGCTACACAACAAACACAGAAAACATTAGTTAGAAAAATATATAAATTACTTAATTTTTGCTTGGCTTCTATGGCTCATTGGGAAGGATTTTAGTACACGTATTATATTTTTCAACTCAAATCACCAAAATAGTTAATAAAAAATAGGCGATCGAACAACCGTTCCTGGTATTGTAAATATGAAAATCGAAATTTTCAAGTAAAGGGCGATCATACCCGTTCCATTTTCAGAATGGCCTGTACTTTTTGTTTAATTATGAAATTTCAAATTGTAACGTTTTCCAAAAATGAAATTTATTTATTCAAAGAGAGACCTCAGTGTTGAAATATAATTAGACTATTACGATCAAAATTTTTGTTTTATTTTGCCTTTGTAGACTGAATTTGTAGCAATAATATTTTAAAAATACTGAATCGTTTAATTTTGGTAAAAAGTTACAAAAATATTTATTTCTCCAAATTTGATATTTTTACATTTTTATATTTTCGGTCCGATTGTTTGTTAGTTATTACTCTATAGAATCAGAATATTTTTTTTTTAAATGCGTAAAGAAAATTAACCTTTTCTGGAAAAGTCATTTTCTGATCGCGCTCATACTTTCACATTTATTGCGCATTTTATGTGATAAAAACGTTACATACAGATTTCTATCCTAGTAGGAAGGTCATAAACACAGTTTAGTTTTAGTTGACAATTTTGGCATAGAGTAAACACACAAGGCACAGAATGTACAGAGTTCATGAAGACAAGATACACAAGAACACTTGATTTTCAATTTTAACAAAAAATTTAAGCAGTTCTGAACTATAGACTTTTTTAAAATCAGTTTAATTCTTTACAAAAGAGGTAGTCGTTTAATAAATTTTTTTTGCATTTTTGGTTCGAACAAAATTCGCGCCACCTTAATAATGATTAGTATTTGGGTGAGTTGATTCTTAGATTTTTTCTGGTTTTGTTGTACAGTTTGACACTATTTGATAGTAAAAGGAAAATTTAAAGAAGGATTCATTTCATTTAAAGTGTAGGAAATATAAAATATGTTCATTAATTAATAAAAAATCAGATAAAATCTGAATAGTCATTGGTTCTTTGGTTTTTGAAAAATTAATAAGATTAGTCAATTACTTGAAACAAATGAGAAATTTTTTATTCTGTTGCTGTCATTTACTTTATATAAAAATGTTTCTCTTATCATCTTGTCCCTGCCATTTTCCTCTTGGTTTTATATTTCAACGCAAACTTCAAAACCAATCTCACTACATGTGATATCAGCTGTATAATCTGAAGGATTTCTTCTGCAACAAAAATTGTAAATCATTCCGGGTTTTTAGCATCCTGAAGGGTCGTAAAGACTTTAAATTTAATCCACTTACCTTACATTTCTACCTTTAAGTGAAGTATTCTTTGGAAAATGTTTCAGAACGGCGGTGGGAGATTCTTTGAAAAAACGCCGAAAAGAAAAAGAATTTAAGGATCTCATTTTAATTGGGCGGACACTGTCTACGTCCAATTTTGGGACAAATTCTCTCGTTCCTTATCCTTCAGACGACAATAAGCATTGCCATCCTGACAGGTTTAACGCCTAAGGCCACAACCACTCAGGTGTTAACTAATCCTCGGTGGTCGGAACAAATCCCTTTTACCTGGCTGGTACCATCTTTGACGGGGGTGCCATTACCAGCCAGCCTCACAAAAGAAGGAATATCACAACAAATTGACCACCCCGGCCGTGGCGACAATGGTATGTAACTTGTTCAAATCGCGCGTGAGGACTGTCGTAAAAGTGGATTAGAAGCTTCTCCAAATTTTCCAACCACCTTTTCTTTCAAGAGATTAAGATTAAACGTCGATTTTACCACCCAGACGTCGTCCATCTTTTGTCACTAAACACTGGAAAAGAGAGTACCACCAACCTTTCTGAGCGATTAGCTGTTTTTCTCAAAACCGCAGGTTATTACTAGATTAGGCTGTTCTACAGGCTAACTTAAGAAAAAGCTATAGCAAAATTAATAGTTAATAAAAAAAAGTTAATAATTATAGTCCATAATTTTTAAAAAGTTTTAACAGCCAATCTTGAACATAATAACGTAATAGAAATGATAAATGATGAAGTGAGTGTGGTGTTCAATCCTTTTTAAAAAGATAGTTCCTACTCACAATAAGTTGTTTTGAAATGATCCGGATTTCGGGCCTTTTAGCTCATCATCAGGTTGAAGGACTTCTACAACCTAATGATGAGCTAAAAGGCTCGAAATCCGGATCGTTGCAAAACAACTTATTTTGAGTAGGAACTATCTTTTTTAAAAGGATAATAACGTAATGTCATTGGATCATAATCCCTAGCCACCTTTCATCCTTGGTAAACTATCAAATAATGTAAGGATAATAAGAAGTGAAGAAGCTGACATTGGATATGCAAACAGCTAGGAATCACATGAAAATCAGATTTCGTAAATTCCCAATATTAATGGACATTTAATGAAAAAAAGTATAAAGTATCGGGAGAGTAATGAGGATATTTTTCCCAGCCGTTGGGTCTCTGTTGAGAGAATTTTTATTCAACCTTCAATTTTTGAGTTGTTGTGGAAATGTAATACTATATTCTATAATTTTTTAAACATTAAAATAAATGTAATACTATATTCTATAATTTTTTAAACATTTTTGATAGTGTTTAGCCACCTGAAAACATAAAACAAACAAAAAAGATTTTTTTAAATCGATGCCTATCAAAATTTATTCTCAAATTTGGAGAAAAAATAAGTTGCTCCTCTCTAACTTCCACATCTTCTTAAATGTCTCAAAACGTTCTTGAAAATGGGTCAAGGTCTCAATTTTGTGGAAAAAACATTTTACAAAAAATATTTCTGAATTTCCAAGAAAAATTAAATTATAAAATAAAAAAATGCAATTTAAACAAATAGTCACCAGTTTGATCGAGAGTAAAAGAAGCTGTCAATGAATGCGTTATCGGAAGTTGTGTAATAAAAGGTTGAAAAAATGAAATAAGTATCTCTAGGTTTAAAACCAACGAAACAAAATGAAAATTATTAAAGCCCGATCTGAAAAGGAAATAGGTTGGTGTATTCTGAATATTTAGAAAAAAGTCACGACATCTCGAACGGTTAGACTAGCGACGTATTGGGCCGAAGGTCATGGGTTCGAATCCCGATCGTGACTCTAACTTTTTGATTTCATCCAAGACCTTACATAAAAATAATAACTAATTGAAAGAAGTAATTTGGACAATTAAACCACTAAATATAAATGGATTAATATTTAGAAAACATCGATGAATATTTTTTAAAAAATCAATCATTTTGGCGAAAATTAAGTACATCAGAAACAATGAAATTCGTTAATTTAAAATTTAATTTTTTAATTTGCCTTCATTACAAAAAAGTGGATGGAGTACATAACGACGGCCATCCTGTATCTTTTAAACTGAATATTTTTAATTTACCAGTCAACAATTCTCAACACGACACTCAAGAATGACACATCTACACGGAAAACAAACACTTTTAGCCCTGAAGATGATCTCAATAAAAGTCGAAACGTGACACGATAAAGAAAATGTTTTTCTAAAACCTACGTCACACCAGACTGCATTTCCCGATCTCCGAATAATCTTTAACAGTTGAAATTTTATATTATCCATTTGCCATAAACTAATACTGAAAATAGATACAATGATGATGGTGAAATGCCGGAACGAGTTGAATTAGCCAACACAGTGCAGATAGGCTAAAATGATCTGCAACGACGGAATTTCAAATTGATAAATAAATCAACAATAAAAACGAAGCCTTGACCCAATTACAACAAACAGTAAAATACTTTAAAACTGCTAATGAAAAGATAAGAAGGTTGTACATATAATCAAAGGATATTTTTATAAAATCAACTTCTATGTGACTGGCACTGTTCCAAAATTGCTCCTCTTGTAAAACCAGTTCCGTGGACACACTCTCTTATCCCAAAGTCGGACGACACTTTGACGTTATTCCTAATCCAATATTATGGATTTGCTTGTTTTATTTGTGTCTTTGACAAAACATGAAACATTTGACAGCAAACGTCCGATGATTTTCTTATTCAGGGCCACTACCTGAATATGTAAATTTCGAATATCGTGCTCTCTGCCACAATAAAAAAATATTGTAGATACAGGAAATACACGGAAATAAAAATGAAAAGGGAAGGCTTTCAACAATAAAATTATTTTTCAAGGAGATTTTAAAACTTTTAATGTCATCATGATACGATTAAATTGATTGTAAAACAGTTCAATATATACTATATTTATTATTACATAACTATATATATTATTTTATTCTCTTATGTAATGTACAATATTTAAAGTTAAAATGAACATAATCATAAAAATGCAGGATCATTTGTAAATTTTAAAAATTATTACAGTTTGCAAATATTACAAAATTGCATACAGAACTGTTCAACACTTTAAGCTGTGGGAAGCAGACCTCCTTAAACTTGGCAGAATATGTATACTTATTTTTTAATTTACTTTTTTCATTTAATTCAGTAAATAATAGACAAAGTGTTTTTAAAAATATAAGAAAAAGTATGTACTTATCTACTATGCTCCTGATCAGTTTTATTCAGTTTTAATACATCAAGTCAATTGATGTGAAAAATGAACTTTGGTATTTTAATTAGCCTCTACCAATGATTAACAAAAATACCACACATTAAACAAAAAATTAATAATAAATGTTTGACATAGTTGACCAACGTGGCAGAGTGTTTAATGCACTCGTATTTGCGTTGCTAGTGGCCCTGCCTGGGTTCAAATCCCGGCAGGGCCATGCGATTTTATTTGATCATAGTACGAACAAAATACTGTAAAGTGGTTTGATTTCTCGTCCGCGACAACCTATGAGTAGTTGGTCCTTAAGCATTTCTGTATATCCGTCGACAGGAAGTCATACCCTAAGAATGGGAATTTCCAATTTCTCATGGATAGCGTAGGTGTTTCCTGCTAGGTTTTCTTGCAAAGGAGACCATTTCTTGATGGATTTTTCAAACTCTCTCCCTAGGATAAGGAAAATAAGCACCAAGCCCAAAATCTGGTAAAATTGTTCGATTTGTTCGTCCCCATATGGTCAGGAAAAACTAACTATAACTCATCTCCTAGCTTAAAAGTTAGCAGGCGCAGGGGATTGGCGAGCCCCCCCCCCCCGTAGTTTTATTTTACCGTATTTTTTTAAACAGGAGCAACTCCAATAAATAAGCTCAAAAACTACCGCGCCTTTCGATTTTTTGGCTTGTGAAAGTTTAAACTGAGAAAATAGTAAGAGAAGTGAAAAATTCTAATATATATATATATATATATATATATATATATATAAATGGCACCTATTCATTACATTCATTATTCTATTCAAAATGAACCGAAAAGCACATTTTTCGAACTACAGCGAGTTGATATGTACGACTGGTTTTAGGTTTTTCAAAAAATAAAATTTGAGATTACTCCGGACTTAAATTTTAAGCCGTATCGCTTGCATCTTTTCCAGGGACTTTGGGGCTCTGGTTATGACAGGTGACTAACGTTCCTTGCACAATCGTCGATTTGGGAAGATAAACAAAACGTTCTTCCATATTCCATTTTATGGGCCAATGAATCGAATTTAATATTTTGCCTTAGATAATATCACAGCTTTCCTTTTAGATCTATCAGACGCGTTTCAGCTGCAGGACGATACTTTATCAAAAACAAGGTATATAAAACAAAAACAAATGTTGCAAAACGTTTAATTTATAATTCATTAGATTTCGTGGTCCGATTGACCAAATAATTTATTCTAATTAATTAATATTTATGTAAGGGTTTTTTATGTTGAGATAAAAAAGTCAGTGTCACGAGCGGGATTCAAACCCACGACCATTTTTCTATCAAATAAATTACACGACACTTGAAAAATGGCAAAAAGGAGGGAAAATTCGAAAGTTGGGTTGAGATGGGAAGTTGGTGTCCGAGATGACCGAAGTCAAAATAGCTGAAGTGGTAGAGCAGTGGCGTATATAACCGAAGGTCGTGAGTTCGAATCCCGCTCGTGACACTGACTTTTTTAACTGAACTAATACCCTATATAAAGATTGATTAACTGAAATTAATTTATAATGTTTAATGACCTTAATTTTGAGTAGCAAAGGTGTTTTTAGGATGAAAAATAATTTTAAATTATAAAACCAAATTCTTTGGGTTGCCTACTGAAGAAACGTTCTGATGGGCGTTTAAGTTGACATTATGTGAAACATGTGTGCAAATACTCTTTAACCCTATTTCCAATTCGTTTTTAATATCATTAATCAGAGTTTTGTTGTAAATTATATTCATAAGAGATTAAAAAAGAAAAACTTTCATTTGAACATAAGTGGCTCATTAAAACCGTTATTTTAGGCTTGATATGTTCTAAAAAATATGTTGCAAGGACTTTTTGTCCTAACTGTGAATACTTGGAAAAGATAAGGAAATGTGTGTTAAATAGTTGGTTTAGCAGTGTAGCATAAATGTGATCTTGTTAATTAGTATTTTTTAATAGCGTAAAGGATTCTTCAGGTTATCTTGCCAAAGGAAATCATGTTAAAACACTCCTGCTGTTACATCCCCGGTCGCAACTAAAAATCTGAGGATGTGTTTAAAGGGTTTCGGCCTGGGAGAGTTTCGGCATTGCAGGACGGACAAGGCAGAGATGTAGAGACGGTTTTCAGTCAGCTGACGTCGAGCGAGGACGGGATGCATGCTGACGGACCCCGGAACAGGAGAGAGCACAAACTGGGTCGTCGGGTCGATGTACTCTTGACTTCGACCTCACGGCAACCTCCCACCGATCAACCTTCCTCAGCCACAACAACGACCACACAAATCGCTTCTTACTCGCTACTGACAGCAGAGGAAAAGCGGATTTTCCTTTTTATCTTATTTCTCTTCTCTATGGAGCTTGTATGCTTTTTCTTTTGTACCAGGTATTTTCATATATGTCACAAAATATCTCAACAAGATTTTTTA